GATCTACTTTCTTTTGTATCTTGATGAAGTGTCCTTCTTTCCAGTCCATCAGCACTTGTTCTTCCTCTTAAATCTTCCTGAATAGTGTGAAGTTTTTTTGCAGTTACTTCTATGTCTGTCTTTAGTGCTTCAACTGGTATATTGTTAGGTCCTGTTACTTTTCTACTCTTTATTTATCCTATAGACATCCCAATTCTTCTATTGTTGGTTAGTTGACGTCTATAGGGGGGGGTTGTGTGCTGCTTCGATGTCCACTGGGTCCAATGGAGCTGGTCTATTTAAGGGTCCCTAAAAATGTTTCGTAGATCTGTTCTTGAATCTCTGTGATTAGCTTACCTTCTTTGTACTTGACCGGTTTTTCTGTTTTACAGTATTTCCCTGCTAGTTTCTTCGTTGTCATATAAATGTCATATTTCATTCTCTTGCAATTTAATCCGTTGTCATTACTAGCTCTTCCACGTATTTCTGCTTGTCAGATCTAATTCTCCTTTTCACTATCTTGTATACATCAGTGTGCCTTGACTTCCTCCGTACTTGTTTGGCTGTTGTTGATTGCTGTCTTCTTGTTTTTCCCTTCCTGAATCTTGTTTACGGCTTTGATAGAGACCCATTCCTTATGATGATGCTTCATGCAGCCCAGAACCTCCTGAAACGTTGAAGTTAGCTCCTTTCATCCCTGTCCAATGGTCCTCCATAGTAGTTTTTCCTTGAGTAGATCTTTTATGGCTTGAAACTTCTTGTTGAGAGTTATTTTCAGTTGGTTGAGTTCGTCAGTATCTTGAAGGAAGGCTGTACTGAACTTTGTAATGTTGTTTACCCAGTTGTCTAGTGTTTCCTTAGCTTCAGCTTCATCTTAGCAATCACCAGGTGGTGATCTGAATCTATATCAGCTCCTCTTCTGCTCCTCATATCTTCCACTGACCTTCTGAATTTTTTACTGACGCAAAGACGATCGATCTGGTTCTCCGTGGTGTGATCCAATGATAACCATGTAGCTTTGTGTATGCGTTTGTGTGGAAATATTGTGCCGTCTATAACCAATTTGTGAATGCGAATCTCTCTCCATCATCGTTTCTTCCTCCCATTCTGTCCATGTCGTCCCATGACATCTTCATACTCGGTGTTGTCCATTCCGACTTTGGAGTTCAAGTCTCCTATCAGGATGGTGAGATCCTTTGTTGGGCACCTCGATATGACTGATTATAGCCTCTCATAGAACTGATTCTTATTGTCGTCGTTGCTATCATTGGTGGGTGGATAACACTGGATAAAATTCATTGTGATTCCCTCCTCCTTTGTTTTGAAGTGTGATTTGATGATCCTGAGTTCATGAGTGCTTTTGGTGCTTCTTTGGACGGCATCAGAGCAACTCTCTAAATATGCGGAGCATTTTCGTCTTCGTGACCAGAGTACAGTAACATCTCTACCGAATTTGAATCTTGCTGTTCAGCTTGGGTCCAGTGGGTCTCGCTGATTCCGAAAACAGTCAAGTTGCATCTCCTCATTTCCGTTGGTATTTGACTGATCCTCTCCGTCTCCCACATTATCTGTGCATTCCATGTACTTATATTAATTGTTGCATAGAATTGAATCTACAGTCTATTCAACTTTAATTCATCATTCAACAGATAAAAAAGTAAATTGTTGATTACAACAATTATGTAATTTCAGATCGGTTTTGGGTTTCTGGTTGTTAAAAGTCAAAGTTCTCAAAAAATAAATCCCCAGTTCTGATGTTAGAATGTGATTTTGTGTGATGGGAATTAGTGAAGTGAACAAGTCACGACATACTATTTGTGTAAATAGTAACTAATATCTGTTCATTACTACAAACGAAATCGATTCAAAAACCTCAATTAAGCAACAATATAACAGATATAAAAATTGGTTTTCAGGGCTCATATCATAAATATACCAAGTCAAAAATATTAAGATAACTGTTAGTGTAGTGAACGAGGACTCAGCTGAGGACAAATAGTTTATTAGTTGACACTAAATTACAGAATGTCTTGGTGAAATACGAAAATCACACATTAAGTACTTCATTTGCACACCCTCCATCAATTGTTCCTTACAAACTTCATCGTTCCTTCATTCCTGTTATTATTACAATTACACTCTGTTTATATCGCTGTTCTCTTCAATTCAATCTTCTCAACCTTCTGCTGCCGGGCATTCCACTTCTGATTGGTGTCACATACTACTTATATCTACGGATTGAAGCATCATATATATAGTACAGTTATTACTTTTCAACAATTAGTCGATGATAAAGTGATTAATTCATTACAGATAGATTGTGTTCTCATTTAAATCAGAGTTATGACAAAAATTTTCTTCTTATATTTACAGATTCTCACTAAACACGTCAGCATTAATAATTGCCACTCTCACAAATGAGTAATATTTTTAGAGATATATTGCTCCAATTTTTAGGTGAGAAGCAATAGTCTATGAAGCCAACCAAGTCTGAAGTGTGAGAGAGAGAGAGCTGCCTATGGATAATATCTCTTGAAGACAATCATATTATGTTACAAACTGACTAGTGCAAAATCTGAAATGGGCAGTGGACACATTCAAGTCATTTTAGACAGTTCTAAGTTACATTCATATTTATGTGTAATAACACACATATACACTGTTCTTTTCGATTATTATAGAGTTGAATCTGTCAAATTTAATCAAAAGTAACAGAAAATTTTCCATAGTTTTTCGATTTACTGACCTAAATAAAATCTGTGTTCTACCAAAGTGTAAAAAAAATGTATTACTTACCTAAATACAATCGACAGAAGACGGTAAACTTAAACTTTATGCTGATTGATAGTTGTTAGAAGAATGAATCTGAAAAAGTGTAAATTGATTATTTATATCAGATATATTTTACAAATATTTTTACTATTTCTCTCTTAAAATCATAAATTCTGCAAAAATGTTTATGCAATAATTCACAGACCATTAAAATCAACTGATAGATATATTTTCGTCATGGATTGGGGTCAGCTAGCGAAACAGTAAAAATCATTATGTTGAATAACTGTTTGGTCCTTGTATCAAATCCCTTAGGAAAGTGAATCCCGAACCATCTTTGGGAATAAATCTATGACATTCAAATCTCTGCAGAAAAAGTTGTGTATCGAAAAAATCCATTGTGACTTATAGAAGACATTGATAATAATTAGAGATTGAAGCAATCTACACATAAATACTTAACCTGTAGATTGTTATATATATATTAACAGACATATAGATAGATAGTTAGTTACTTAATTGATTAGTTTATCACTTATATTACGATTTATCATGGAGCTTGCTTTAAACGAATAGTAAAATGACGAGTTTGTGATTTAAACTAAAAATTAAATAATCTCCGTAAAATTCATTACTGATAGATTTAAGTATAACTGGTCCCTATCAATTGTCTGTCTGGTATGATTCATTGAAGGAAGAAGAGATTATAGGGTATTACGTAGGATATTGACATTTGTTAGTAAGATTGCTGAATAGTTCTTTAAATTCGTGATGAATATGAATTTTCTTCTGAAATCTTACTCGTGAACAGGAAATTTTTATTGTAATTATGTAATGACCGTTCCATTTACTTACAGCTTTCTTAATTTTCTTATTCATTAGTGCAAAACTCAAATTTATTAACATCTGTGCATATACACAGAAGTATTAAAATTTCGAAATATTTAACCTAATACTTATCAAAAGCATTCATAGTTGGAGATATGTATTTATCATTCTTGTAGATGAGACTTATCTACTGAGCTGCCAGTGTACAGTATTGAATATATTATTGTTCTTCTTCTTCTTCTTATTATTATTATTATTATTAAATCAATTTTGTTAAAGCATTACAAAATATTCTGTAATTGTAAGTAATTTTCATTTCAAGTTGAAATCAACTGAGAAACCACATTGAAAACTAGAAACCTGATTCATGATTCATCCCTGAAAAAATAGGAACTTAGAATCCTATTTAGATGTATTAATGAAAAAGATGGATACATTTAAGATGGTGTATTTAACATATAAATACACCAATTAAGTTAATATCAGTGAACTGTTAATAAATTACGGTTTTTTTACATTTAACAATGTATTCCAACAGTTTATTGTATAATAATCTATTTATCCTGTTGGATAATTTATTTTGACAGATATGATAGGCATATTTATTCTGACTCAAAAGGATTTCATCATTTGTCAGAAATTCCGAGTGGTGACCTAGGCTTTTGTCTTCCTAATATATTCGTTTTATTAACATTTTATCATCATTTTCGACAGTATGATTATTCATTGAGTAGACTACGCATCAAAGAATGTAAAGTTCAAATTATTTTCTGTTTCGTAACTATTTCCAATAAGCAGAACAATTTCTTAATTTACTTTATTAATGTTATCAGTGACTTCTGAATTTATATTTTTCAGTTGCATCTCGTATAACTAATAACCAAATAAAATATACTGTCAATAAATTTTGGTCAGTCCTTCATTCTACAAAGCAGGCTAACTGTTTGAATATTAATTTTAAATCATAATAGAAATACCCCCTTTTTATCACATAAAATATTAGGTCACATGTGCTATTTCATAGGCCAGATGATTGGTTAAAAATAATATTGGCGGGTCAAGATAACTAAGAGAGATTTTCATTGGTTATCGCATTACCAAATTAACCAATGGATTATACGAGAAAGAAAGATAAATATTCTATCAGTTAGATTGGTTGTTTCATCCACCCTTTTCTCTGTAAAATTCGCAGGGAGGTAATGCAAGTGAATTGTACTTAGCCTGCATGGAAGTAACGGTCTGAAAAATATATCGATAATATTAAATAACTGATCTGGATTTCAGGCATCTTCATTTAAGGATTTATTAAGTGAATAATTAAAAAGAAAACGTTGTGGACAAATCCAATAGTTGAATAAACCGATAAATATTTATGTTCACTGCATATTTGAACAAATTTCAATAAACTGTTTAATAAAAGAATGGAACTTCAGACTATTGGTCCAATTACATTAGACTCATCAAATTGTACTGATTTACGTAGAGGACAGTGTGATTACCAACCAACAACAGTGACGCAAAAAGCTAACTTGAATACATGCAATCCCAGTTCAACAGCATGCGAATTCTATGATCTCTCAACAACGCAACAAATAGAAACACGTCAAATGGAAATCAATAGACACTATAATAATAACAATACTATACTTGAAAAAATTAAATATAACTATCAAGCATCATCTACATTTTCAGCCCCCAATCCGTCCTCTCCCAAATTACCACCGTCAATATTTCATTGTACATCAAATACTACTAAGGCATCAAGCATTACTTCTATATCTCCTCCTCCTCCTGCTAATAGTAACAGTAATATTAATGTAATGAACGCCCCAAAATCTTCACCTATATTACTGACGAATAATCGACTTTCAGAATTAATATCGAATTGCTATGAACAACCTACAGCAAATCTATCTGTTGATTGTTCTAATGAACAAATAAGCTTAACAAACACTGAAAACTTTCCATCAAATACACTAAATTCTTTTGTTAATAATAAAATTAATAAATCTAATCAAAAAGATAATGAGGCAATCTATTATGATCATGTATCATTGAATAAATATTTAAATGAAAATAAAGACTCTGTACAGTCTACATTTTTGAATCTTCCCACTACAACATTATCGCATTCAACGAACATAACATGTTCAACATCCATATCATCATCGTCATCAAGCATGATAGAATTGTTTTCAACTATGAAAGAACCAATGAAAACCAATAATATTTCAACATTAAACAATCTACAACAATCAGCAAGGAAAATACCAAGTAGAACACCATCACCTTCAGTGTTAACTGAACATGAATTAAATAATAATCCTAATAATGAACAATATTTATCTTCTGAAATAGAACATTCTAAGTTGTCTAATTCTGTCGAGAATAGAATTAAATACTCAAATATATTAAACAATGATATTAACTTTTATAATAATACTAATCAATCGTCATTAAATTCCCAACGTAATTCGGAATTAAACATAAATCCATTGACAAATGATTCATTGTTGATAATTAAATCCTCTTCCTCGTCCACCTCATCATCATCATTATTGTCACTAATATCTACTTCTGTCCCATCAGTTACACCATCAATATCATCCACATCATCATCAATGTACCAACTGAATTCCGTGATCAATACGAATGAACCTACTTGTGATAGGCATGATTTATATCATAATGAATCAATACCAATTATGCCATTCGCATGTACAACTATTACAGAGACAGTCAGTACAACTACATGTTCCAACTTATCATCTGTTTGTTCTACACTTCCAAACAGTTCTTGTATCACTACAGTAAATTCTATGCTACCTACATTATCAACATCAATGACTGATCATTCAAGTAATAATAATAATTTATGTCAAATGAATAGATTTAATTTATATCATTTACAAAATCCATATTTGTTAACAAGTTTAGAAAGTTCTAAGTTTTCAATTCAATCGCATTTAGAACAATTTCCAGTAAATCCAATAAATTTTGTTACAACATGTTCGACAAACGTTACTTTTTCTACAAATACTACTAATACTGTCATAAATACTAATACAAACTGTAATAATAATAACATTAATGGTAATAATAGTGGTAATAGTGACGATGATGATAATGATTGTGTTAGTGGTGATGGTGGTCAGAGAGGTGGTGATAGTGACAGTAATTCAGTAATCCAGTTATATCAACAACAATCAACTGATGTATTATCAAGATTCCCTACTCCATTAACTCTAATGTATGAGACTATGAATAATAAAACTAGCATCACGAATAATTTTCCGATTTCCCCTAGTGCTCCTACTTTTCCTCATCATCACAATCACCATCAAAATCAACATCATCATCATCAACATGTTCATCATCCATCTCATCTTCAGCATCATCATCATCCCTATCAACCACCACCGCCACAACAACAACATCAACTAAATAGATATCATACGAATAATCCATATTTGAATAATTTACCAATGAAATTATCAACATTCAACTTGATTTCATCGTCATCATCATCGTCGTCGTCACCATCGATAACAACAACACCACCGTCATCAATGTTTTCATCATCATTATTATTAACAACAGATACAACGATAGACACTATGACAACAACCACTAAACCAACAGTAATTACTGATGGGACATTAACACCAACAAATTTGCAATCAACTTATTTTCCTTATTCATTTGTCAGTAATCATATGATTACCAATGGTAATAATAATTCTATTAACAATGCTAATAATAATCTAACGGATCGAATTAATACAGTATGTGATGAATATTTACCATCAGATTGTAGATCATCAGGTGGAAGTAAGATTTTTATGAGTTATAGCAATTTATATGAGTTATATTATTTTATTTCCAAAAGTGTATATTTGAAGGTGTCAATCTTAAGTATTCATTTAGTGAGTAACGAAATGATTGAAATACGTATATCGATTTATACTGTAGACTTTCTGATCTGGGATTATATAATAACTATATTCTATATTATATGATTCAAAGTCAATCTCAGTAGTGTAGATGGATTTTTTGTTGATCATCTTCTAGATAGCAACCATTAGAATATATAGTTTCATTCATTAACTTTATTTATTTACTACAAATTGATGATATTCTCACTCTTTAATTAATACTTTGTTCATTTTATCTTGTTCTCTCCATATTATTCAGATCAAGTGTGATGAATTCAGTGAATCGTATATATCTACTTAGTTTCACATTGTTCACGACTATTTAATTGAATGATTGAGTGCTTTAAATAATAATTAAGTTTGTTTTTTTTATAGAAAGGATTAGTTTGTTTCTTAATTGTTTAGTGTTCACGTTAATGACTTTAAACTATATTTTAATGAATGGATGACCAAGATAAAATACATTTATCTCATATTTATAATAATAATAATAGTTAACGATATTAGACCAGGATCTAAGTAACAGAAATCTGATTATTTCTTAATGTGAATTTCATAATATTACATAGTAAAATGTCATTAATAAGAGGTCAGTAATTAAGTAAATTATTTAACGAAATTCTAACGTAAATAACGATTTCACTTTGAATTAAAAGCTTTCATCACAAATAGAGACAAAAAGTAAAGAATTTCAATAGTTGAGATCATGAGTCAATTGAAGCTAGACCGCCATGGAAAACCTGGAAGCACTGGACGACCGTCTCGTTCTATTTTGGGACTCCTCAGTAGTGAGCAACCGTGACCCCGCCTCGCAAGACTCGAACCCAGGACCTATCAGTCTATTGGCTAGGTGCTCGCGCTCGCTCGGCTTGAATCCCGCTAGGCGGGGTCGTGGGTGCACACTGATGAGAAGTCCCATAATAGAACGGGACGACCTTTCAGTGCTTCTAGTTTTTCCATTGTGATCTAGCTTCAACTGACTTATGATCTCAACCACTAAAACTTGATCATAGTTTAATTTTATTTAGCTAGTGAAAATTGTTTCAGAATTGGAATTTAAATGAGTAATAGTTATTTTAAATAAATGCCAAGTTAGTCTTATTTTAAAGAGGGCAAGAACAAAGATTTTAGCAAAATAGTAGGAATTTATTTTATTACCTTTGGTTCTCATCAGCTGCTCACAACCTGTGACAGTTAAAAATCATATTTACTAAATGAGTTTCAAGTAATTACATGAATGAGTTTAGCTGGAAGTTATATTGAAGACACATCAGTATAGTTTAACAAGGATGTCAAAAAATTTGATAGACTGAATAAAATATTGTAAATATATATAGTAATAAATATTACTCTAGCCAGAACTTATCAGTCAACCAAACTATTAATTCGGTATGAAACAACTTGTTCAATAACTCAATCTAGAGTTGACAGGCGCCCCTTTCATGTTACCACTAACTGTATTTACCGATTTACGTGCACCTGCCAAAGCAACTAAATTGGCTGGACAGAAAGAAAGGCCGATCTTAGATTTTTTGAGCATACTCGAAAAAGCCTTATAACAAGAGAAAGGACAACTTTAAACAGTGGAATTACTAAACATCTCTTGAACACAGGACATCAAGCAGATACCTTGCAATCTTTGAAGGTGACTAATAAAAAGCCAAGCCCCAGCCTTCTGAAGTTTGCTGAATCTCTTGCTATCAGGCGTCAAACACATGATTTATGTGTTCAAAGCAGATGGTTATTAATATTTCCTTGTCTTGGTGACAAATACCCCTTCATGGCATTCTTCAAATATTTCTTTCAATTATTTCTTTCATTTAATTACATCATTATGTCTTCTAGATTAGTAATCTTATTTTATTAACCAAGCTCCAGTCATTTTATTCTCACTTATTATCAGCATTTACTGATTACGTACTCACTTGTTTCTAGCCATTTAGACTCCTGTTACAATCAATGTTGCAGAATGTTCTTTTACATAAGGTATGTATTAACAATGTTTTATTCAGTCTATTAAATTTATTGACATCCTTGTTAGACCATACTGATGCGTCTTCAATATAACTTCCAGCTAAACTCATTCATGTAATTACTTGAAACCCATTTAGTAATTATGATTTTTAACTATCACAGATTGTAAGCAGCTGACGTGAACCAAACGAAATGAGATGAATTCCTATAATTTTTCTAAAATTTTTGTTCTTGTTGTCTTCAAGATGATCAAGGAAACTATGTGTATGAGATTAGCTTTCTTTATTTGGCTGGGAATAACTTCAAAGTTTCTGGAAAGCGTTGAATGATATTCTATTCCGTGCTTTTTTCTTAATTTATGTAGCTAGTTTAGTTTTGTTCATGTGTACATCATCATGAAGTAGTCTTTTCATCGCATTTCTTTCCTTTAAAAATTAAATTTAACTGTATACTATCAGTTGGAAATAGTTCACTATATAAGCTTGTGTGCAGCTGAAGAGAAAGCAACAAATTTTAATAGTCAGAATTAGGATTTGCGGAGATTATAGTGGTTTTAATAATTGAACTCATGAGTCGATTTGAGCTAGACCACCACTGGAAATCTGGAAGCGCTCAACTACCTTTTCTTTCTAGTATGATAATCCTCAGTCAGTCTCGTGGTTAGGCATTTGCACTCAAGACCGAAGGTCTTTGGTTCGAGTCCCGTTTAGCGGACTGTAGATACGCACTTTTAAGGAGTCCCATTCTGGGACGAAACCACCGTTCAGTGCTTTCTGGTTCTCAATGATGACCTAGCGTTGATTGACTCACGAATTCAACTATTTAAAAAATTATAACGAATTCATCATATTCTGCAAACAATATCGTTTTCGCTGTTTAAATTTTTTGAAAGGAACCAACTGCACAAATGTTTCAGTTTGCGTGTATGAATAAATTTAATCCAAAATGTACGGCAAAATAATTTTCCTACGCATCGAAATAAAATGAACACGAAGTTGTTCAACTTTCAAAACACTATCAACTATCAGAAAAAAACATACGAATTGAATCGTGTTTAAGTATTTAAGAACCATAGTTGTTTTGCTATGTTACGTAAATTTAAACTAACAATTCGGTCGTACTATATATATATATATATATATATAGCTTTCTCTTAAATAATTTTCATTTGTGTATGCATCATTTATACTGTTTTTTCTTCTCACTTTTACCATTTCTCAATATACAAACAAATCTATGACAAAAAATATCTTGGTTTCTATTTATCAATGGACATAAATGATACATCTTTCAAACTAGAAGTACGGTCAAGAAAAAAGCGCAAACCGTATACACGTTACCAAACAATGGTTTTAGAAAATGAATTCATGGGCAATGCATATATCACAAGACAGAAACGTTGGGAAATTTCTTGTAAACTACATTTGACAGAAAGACAAGTGAGTAACGAATAACCGTGTTATTATTATTTATTATTATTCAATAAAATTCCGATGATATAAATAACCATAAAACTTGATGGATCTTTTTTTCTGATTTACATGTCACAATAAATCATGACATATCCAAATTTGGATATACTGAAGAGAACCTCTTATTTTTTTGAACTGTTGGTAGTTTAGAATTCCATTCCTTGTAATCTAAAGAATTTTGAGCCATTCAGTATTTTCTCTATATGATCACACAGAAGTTTCATTCTACCTAGTTTAAAACCGATTAACAAGTCCATTTATTGCTCTATGGACTAGTATCATCTCCGAAACATTTGAAAACCACGTTGTTGAAAAACATATTCTTTTGAATTGATTCGAAAGCTGACCGAATGATAATGACTTATGAGGGCAAATTAGTAGAATGAAGCCCAAAATATGTGAATATCAGAAGATCTACTATGCTTATGTATGAAATAAGTATAAGAATGCACCTATTGTAGCGAATGAAAACTCAGATGGGAGAACCAATTTATTGGTTGATGCACAATCACACAGTGGTTCAGTAAAATGTGAAAACCATACATCAAATAGATCATTTACAAATCTTTGATTTGTCTCTTACAAGCTTCATCGTCCCTTCATTCCTGTTGTTATCTTGATTGCTTTCAGTTTCCTCCTCTTTTCTCTTCATTTCAATCTTCTCATTCTTCTACTCGCAGACATTCTACTTCTAACTAGTGTTACAAACTACTTATGTCTGGTTAGCATACACCACACTATGGCTGAAAGTTGTGAAAAAAATCTATGCTTTTATCAGATATGTACATTCGAGGATAAGCCACTAAACGATACAATTCTTTCCGACCAAATCATTTACTTAAGCTGCACATTTGTATTTATAGTTGTATGGTAAATATATTTCTATAGAACGATAGAAAAGATTGCGTCAAAAATTATTTCGAGAGTTTAATTATTAAATGACGTTGCATAGTAATCAAGGAGTTGGAGAAGAATAGTAGAATGAAAATAATTTGCGGATTATAATTATTCAAATGGAGATATTTTTAGTGAATTCCTAGATGATATTTATGATTATCAGGTATGAGATAGGGTCATTTATTGAGAATCGTTATTCTTTTTCCGTAACTGGTCAACTTGTATTAATTATTCAGGATTCTATAAGGCTTTTTCCTTTGCATTATATTTCTGTGTAGTGAGAGTTTCTCTTATGATATACCTAACACAAGAAGTTTAGCATTACTTAATCATACACATTAAAACTAGTTGGTTTTATTTCATTAAAAAAAACCAACTTTAAATGTAATAATTATCCTACAACTAATTAAACTACAATGAGGTATGAGGAATGAATCATTGTGTAAAATTCTATTTAATGTGTATCCTTCCATTATTTACTGCAATATAGAAATCAACTTTCTTTCTTGCGTGAAAAAAACCCAGTAAACTATACTATCTTATCTGATATTACAATTTAATATTGTTTTAATGTTCACCAATGACAGATTATTTTTATTCAATTGTTTATTCACTGTTTATTTTAGTCTTGTGACTATGTAAACAGATACAATTTAGACCTACGTATGGGTATGTGTATATGTACGTACGTATATTGGGCCCGAAACTACTATATAGGCATAATTCGTGCAGATGTATACAGAAATGTTTGTCTGTATACGTATATGCGTGTATGTGTATGTGTATATGTATGGATTTATCTAATACACATCAATAATTTTCATTTGTATGACACGTGTATTTCAGTACTGTTTTTTATGTATTTTATGCTATCTTTACATTGTGCTATAGTAACAAGTTTACAAATCATTACTATTCCATTTTATAAGGGTTCTCATATCCATATATATTGTAAATAGGCAGCTAAGCATTAATTTCATAATATACATATTGTTTGTCTGTCTTTACAGTGTTAACCTAAACCATTTATCGATAAGTGTATTAATTAGTTGGTCTTGGTGCTAAAATGGTTACAAAATAAGTACTTTTTTCTAACAAAAACTTATCAATAAATATTCTTGGTGAACAATTCTTCATTGTGTTCTTCTGTCCTCCCCTACCAAATTCGAAATTGTTACCAACAATAACAACCTTATCTAGCCTCACCCCAACTATTATGACTATCAATACTACTACGATTGTTATTATGTCCCTATCATTATCAACATAACAACCATTATCTTAATACTTATTTCATCTATGTTTATTCATTTGGAAAAAAATAAACCAAAATATATTTTAAAAAGTCAGTTGATCACAATTGAATTTTGTCTGCCCGCAGAGTATCCTAAAACATAACCAAAAATTACAATTGGGATTTCTAAGAAAAATCTCATAGACGTTGAGCGAGAAAGAATAAAGGGGGTAGAAGGGATATGGAGGAAGAGATAAAGTGTAACATTGTTTATAATATTAGTTTTGTTTCAATTACATTTTCAGCGAATGGTATTATTAATATTGTCATAGATACTCTTAAAATAAATTAATCACTATGATGTCATTGCACTATAAATATAATAATAAGATATACAGTGTAATTCAACAGTTGTTTCTTATAAATTACTAGGATGATATCAATTGACAAACAAATCATTTCAAGGGTGTAATTATTGTCTACATCTTTAATAAGTTACATGAAATTCTCTACAGAATTAAATTGTTTTTCTTTTCATGTATAATGGTAGTATTAAGAAACAAGTGATTTCTTATTGTTGAAAAGTAATTTTTTATGTAGAGAATTTTTTTAGGTAATAGAAAATGGTTTAGCCATGTCATATAACAGCATTCATGATCGTATATTAGTGAAGCATAAAATGGCAATTAAAAAACCACTTTGAACTGAAAACTACTTATTTCCGTCAAATATATCATATCGAAGTTGAATGGTAACTAACACAGTGGGATCAACAATATGCGTTTCAAACATTTGTTAACTCATCAACAGGATGTACAGTTCTAGTCACTATCTGACTTTGATAAAAACTTGCGATAAAATGGTTGTATTGAAGCGATCCTGACAGGATGCGCATATGGCAAGAAAAAAGTGATTTCAATTCAATTATTAATACCAACAAGTATATGAATTAAACCTTTACAGATCAGTGATTTATTACTTAATTTAAGCTCCTTTTCTGATCTACTTTATTAATTGCCTTTCAAATTGCAAAGCTATTTTTAATTAGTTGACATGTAGTTTGTTAGAAAGCTAATATCTCCTTCGTTCACATATACACAAACATGGAGTTTTGACTAAACGATGAGGTGTGTTATCGCTTATATTAATATAAAAATTGGGATAGAATAATCTCCCAAATCGTGGATTTAAGAAATTTTAAAAACGATAGAAAATTTCGTAAAGCATTACACTTTTGTTAGATATATCAATATAGATCCAATCAATCAACAGATAAGGAGAAAGTCATCCAATTACATACTCAGGGATCAACTTAATCGTTAATGAGAATACAAGGACTGGTAAAAATAAACTAGCCTGTGAAAAGTAATCAGTCATAACTAGAATTATTAGAGTGAACTGATTTACATTTTTGAGACTAAACATTCCGACTGAATTAATTGTTTTATGAGTTAAAGAGTTCAAGCAAGTTAAATTATAAAATAGTTTTGAAAAAGCTAGAATATGTTTGATGTAATAAGTGTTGATAATGTTGACGAGTGTGATATTGGGAACTTCACCATAAACTTATCATATAAAACACATAGGAATTAGAAGAAATAGAACATATTTTGTCTTATTCACAATGTTTAAGATATTTGTTTGATTGTACACAAAAATTAGTTAAAGTCGTGTTCTATATATACTGACTAATTCATTAAAAAAACACAGTCATATTATTATTATTATCAAAAAGAGACTTGAGTTATATAACTGACGCCTTATTATGTAACAAATTGAAAATAAGTTTATTTTCTTTGATTAGTCCAATAACAAGGAATATCATCAAACCTTTTCTTGAATTAGATTCTTCTTATCTGATATCTTTTTTTTTGTTTTGTTGAATGAAAAAAATTCTGTTTTTACTTGGTCACACAAACAATTTAATATTTTTCTTCAAAGTTGACTAAAGCAAACATTCAAACATTTTGATAACAATCTTTCTAACTAAGTAGACGATTTTATATTCTCAAAATATACATTTTTTTCGTCAATATTTTGTTACAACATTATTAGAGGTATGTCGAATGCTTACTGTTGAACTGATGTATGTTCATGTCTATATATGTATGTATATGTGTGTGCGTCTATATGAGAGACAAATATAGACAGTCAGGATAAAACAATATAAATGAAAAGAAGGTAGTTAAGATCTTCACGGGAATTTACTCATAGAATCATTCACTAATAAGCATATTATGGATTAAGATAAACACTTAAAAAGTCAATTTTCATAAGAATCAATTTTATTTAGTAACTGGTTAAAATTATATGAATAAACATTTTAAATACAAGGGTAGTCACTAATGCAATAAATAAATGATGAATTTAGTTTTTAGCTTTATGATATGGATCTTGAATTGGTTATCAAGATATTTATTTTTGCATTATCATCATGGTATTTAAGTCATAGCAACGTGAAATCTAGGTAGGATCAAATTGTTCTTTGTTTATATACTACAAATTGACTCAATATAAAAAATGTTTACATAATTCATTTATTTTTTTTAAATGGCTAAACACTTCATTATCTTTTATAGAGAAATGTATTTTTCTTTTTTGGATATTTGTTTATCATTTTACAACATATAATTTAATTTAGCATTTTGTGACGTTAGTTAAGTGATATAATTGAAAATGGATTATTAAGAGAACTTTGGTCTAAAGAAACTGTTTATATGTAATTTGGTAATTGCAAGGGAGTCATTCGCAAATTATTGTTGATTGAATGATTAGAGATTTGAGAAAATTCACTTGGTAAAATATTTCGTCACTAACTGACATTAGTTAATAAGTC